AATTGTTAATGATTTTAAAGTTTCAGGGGATTTTTAAGGATAATTTTAATTGATCGGCCTATTTAAATATTTCTTTTTAATTCGGCTTTTAATTATTGTATTTGTATTGTAGTTTTATGAGGCTGTTAGCCGCCCTGAGTCCCATGAGGAGAAGGGCGGGGTATAAATTAAATTATAAATAAATAAATAAATAAATTTAATGAAATACTCCAAAGAAAATTCTAAATTGTGATATGCCTGTTAGTTGTGTTTTAGTATCATGTTTCTCCTTAACTACATACTATAGTTTTAGTCGAGAACAGCAATATTCCAGGTAGGATTTCAGCTGTGGGAAGAAATCTGTCATCTAACCTAGATACAGAAAGTGTATCAGAAGAAGTCTTTTTGGCAGAGGATGTCTCTATCAAGAACATAACTGAGTCTCTGGAAAAAACTTCGAAAGTTATAAATGATATTGACTCTCTTCTGGCTTCTTCCACAAAGTGTACTGTTGGAGTCAAAAATATTTCAAGGAAAGCTGTCCATCTTTAATTTGACTGGAAAAACAAAGGTCACTAACTGCACAGATGATTATATAAGATTTATATAAATTATGACAAACATAATTTATTTTTAAAAGACTAAATATTTAGATTACAAAGAAATGTGAAATGTGGCTTCACTGAGATTCTCATATTCAAATAAAATTTACCACGCATGGACATTTTGCACTATTGATTTGTTTTTTTATAGTTTTTCCAATATTCTTCAAAGTCCACAAAAAGGCCTAACAAAGTCAATATGTTCTAATCAAAGTGGCATAATATTTTATTGTTTGATGAGTAAATTGCAGTTATGTTCTGTTGTGGGTTTTTTCTCCCCATGTCTTTGCTATTGATATTTGGATACTTTTTTCCCTTTGGTGATGCCAAGCACAGACTGAAATGTGAGTGTTCTACTTTCAAAAGCAAACCTTGAATGAGGGTCTGTTTTAGCTTTAAGTCATTTACTTGTTTGTTTATTCATCCATCTAATTTCTACATTGCTTATCTCACTTAAGTGACTCTGGACAGTTTACAAATAAAAAACATGAAAAGTGACATCATTAAAAACAGCATTAAAAACAAAATTAAGAATTACAGAGGTGAAAAAAGTAAAACAAGTTTAAAAAGGCAGGGAGAGCTCTCTCCATCTGTCAGACCTCCATGACAGGTCTTGAAGTTTTTTTGGAAGACCAAGAGAGTGGGGGCCCATCTCACCTCTAGGGCAAGCATAAACAACAGAGAAGACTCTTTTCCTTTAGCCAATGGGATCCATAACATACCCTCAGGTGAGATGAGTCGATGACATAGGAACAAGAGTATTTGTTAGCAGTTACAAGAAACACATGGATTCTTACCTTATATTAGGAAACATTCTTAGGACATAAGCATTCCAATGAACGAATTATATTCAGACTTAATAGGTTTGATGGGCTTTTTTCTTAAGTTATACAAAGCATATTCCTGAACTGTATAAATGTTTTAAATAAACAATTTAAAATGATCTAAATAAAAGCAAAGCCTTATTTATAGCATGTGCATTTATTTAATGTAGCACTATCACTTTCCACTCATCCACTGTAAATCAGGTTACATGGGTGATGTAGAAATTGGATGGACAGACAGACAAGACAGAGAAAGTGAAAACCCAGTGGGGAATAGGACCAAAATTATTGCATAGGAGGATGAAGAAATACAAGTATAAATTGATTTAGTTGGTAAAAATGAAGGTAGCAGAAACCAGGAATTATGTCTTAAGTGGAATGTTAAAATAACATTAATAGGGTTGGGTTTTAAGGTAGATCACAGATTATATACAACAGAAATTATATAACTAAACAATTAACAGGACAGATAAGGAGTATTGGAAAGAGTAGAATAATCATACAAATAAGTCCACACATTTTGATGAGTGGTCAGTTCGCATGTAATTTTTTCTGGTTTCAGGCATAAAAAAATCAAAATGCTATCTTTTAAACATGATGATCCTTGTATCCCATCTTGCAGATATTTACAGCTTCTATAAAAACTCAGGTTCAGTCTGTTCTGTTGCTAGACAGCAACAGGTATCTAAAGTAATTACATAACCTTTTAAAAAAATCAGCGTAGCAGAATATCACAACTAGAAAAGTGAACATAAGTTGCAAATTTACATATATTGTGATTGCTCTGTAGTAAAACATACTTTTTACTTAGGCTATCATCCTAACAGATATCAGATACACTGTGTTTGAAGTATAGTGTTAAGCTTCCCCTTGGGGGTGTACATTTGCCACAGTTCTTACATTCATGTGTCTTCTGGTCTCAGGTGGCAACATGTTTGGTGGATCTAAGCAGAGTCAGGCTGGATTAGTCCCTGGATGGGAGACCACAAGGAAATCCCAAGGTTACAAGTTAGGCTTGAAAATTAAAAAAAAAAAGACCAAAAAGCTCCTTACATCCTAGAAGACTGTGCCAAGCCCTTTCAACAACATTGCCAAGAGAAATGAATGAACATTTCCATACCTGTTTTTTAAAAAAAAAAAAAAAACCTGAGACGTTAGTTTTTTTATAAAACGAAAAATGAAGCCCAATAGACTTACAACAGCGAGTATCCCTTCATTTCCCAG